TACTATTCAAAGATCTCCCAGTCAGATTCAATTAACTGAAAATGAAAAAAACATAACTGATTTTAATAGGTATTTTGAAATCTATTTTGGCGTTCTTAGAGCTTTTAATTATATATATATATATACAGGCGCGGATCCAGCATTTTTTGATGTTTGAGATAACTAACTTCCAGACATGGTACAAACCCCAAAAATTTATATGTTTATACTTATGTCAAATAAAGATGATTTGCAAAAAATTGCGATGATTGGAGTCTGGGAACAAAAAAGCCCCAAAATTTTGGCCACACAAACCCCAAACAAGAGAGCAACAAGTTGATAAAATATTTTTTGTACAATTCTCAAGTAAATTTATATTCATCGATAAATTCTAAATTTCATGCAATAATCTCTAAGTGTTCAAAAATTATAATTGCACAAAGCATTAACCCCCCTCAATTTGAGGGGGTTACAAATTTTGTAAGGTCATGTTTTTTGAACACTAAGAGATTATTGTATGAAATTTAGAATTTATCGATGAATATAAATTTACTTAAGAATTGTACAAAAAATATTTTATCAACTTGTTGCTCTCTTGTTTGGGGTTTGTGTGGCCAAAATTTTGGGGCTTTTTTGTTCCCAGACTCCAATCATCGCAATTTTTTGCAAATCATCTTTATTTGACATAAGTATAAACATATAAATTTTTGGGGTTTGTACCATGTCTGGAAGTTAGTTATCTCAAACATCAAAAAATGCTGGATCCGCGCCTGATATATATATATATATATATATATATATATATATATATATATATATATATATATATATATATATATATATGTATATATATATATATATATATATATATATATATATATATATATATATATATATATATATATATATATATATATATACATATATATATATATATATATATAAAATATATACTTGTTTGGTAAAGAAATTATATCTTGGTAAGTATTCTCTTTCTAACTGAGTTTGTTACCCCGAACCGAAAAAGCTGGGCCTAGACGTGTCAAGGATAATGCCGATTGTGGTTTTTATACCAACTTATTCGGTCAATATTTTGCTTAAATCTGTAATGCTGTATTAAACTTGTAATGTTCTACAATGTTTTTAAACCGATTGCTTTTAGTCTTTTTTTAGTTAAAGTCGTTTCAAGATATTAGACTATTATTGTTGATATTCTTTGTACTTTCTCTAACTATTTAATATCCCGTTGTAAACAAGGCTTCCATTCTGGTATAGCGAACTCAAGAAGTGGTCTAACAAAGTCCTATATAGTGATTTCACCGTTTCCATATCAAAGTATGTAAATGTAGGTTTATTTAGACCCAACGTTCTTTGCACTTTTGCCGTCGCTAAAGTCATTTGATCATGCCATTTAAGGCCGGATGTAGAGGGTATCAATTGCCGACATTTTTTTGATTCCGTAAAGCGGGAAATTTAAAAATAATTTCAAGATTTCCCGCGAATTTGCGGAGAAAAAGTCTTTACTTAAACAAATATATAAATACGAGACTAACTTTTAATAAGAAAACGACATTTATTTTTAAAATATTATTTTATTTTAAATTTGTATGTATACACGAAACTTGTATATGTATGCATTAGGGTGAAGTGATTAAAAAATATTTGGTTCCTCTTTGGACTCTAATTTCTCGACAGGTCCTAATTTTGTTGAAGTTTTTTCAAAAGAAGCAGAACAGGGCCGTCGATATAGCTTTAAAGTATGGGGGAGAGGGGGCACTCCTCAGTTTCTGAAAAAAATTCTTTATTTCTAAAAAAAAAAGTCCTCAAAAAAAACCGAAGGCCCCGGTGTCGACGGTCATGTTATTGATTTGTTAATGCTCGATGTATATTTAATAAAATTCATAACTTTAGCACCCTAGATGCTATATTCTATAACTGTTAACACTCAAGGTACCATATAGGTGTGTATATTTTACGTTAAAATGAAATCTATTGTTTTATTTTAAAAATACATGCATTTAAAAAATTAATAAATTTCAACTATTCAACTATGCTTTAAGTAAAAATGACTCCATCTTCAGATAAGTTTCAAAACTAGGTTGATGAAATCTATCCTTGATTACTGTAACAATTCAATCCAAAATCTCAAAATGGATGATGTGCTTCAGCATTTGATAACCAATCTACATTAAAAATTAAACGTTAAAATCTTGCTCTAAATTTTTTGTAGCTCGGTATTTTTCTTTTTCTTGGAATAGAAGGTGAATTAACAAAATGATATTTTTTAGCTTTAAATTTCTTCGTTTCATAAAAAGCATCAGCTTGACTTTCTAATCTCATTCGTTTAAACGTATTGGTTGTTAGTTAAGCTAAAATGACTTTCAATTGCTGAAATATTTTCTCCTTGGACTGTTTTTGATAGGTTATCTGTAATTGAATAAATTGTGAAGCCTAGATAAAAAATCTAAATAACTCCATTTGAGCTTTGCATCCCAGTATTCTAGATCAACTTCGATGTTTTCTTCAAGACAATTATCCCAAACTTCCATCAGTTGCATGTAGTTATGTAAAACCTATATTTAAAAATTTATTTAAAATTAAGCAAACCTGATTAACACAACCATAATATAGGCTAAAATATCCTTTTTATTTTTATAAATTAAAGATTTTAATTTTCCTTGTTTAAATTTTAAATTTTCCTTTATAATAAGAATTGTTGAAAGAGTTATTGATAATTTTAATAAAAAAGTTGCTGTATCCAAAACAGCATTGCCGTCATCATTTAATACTTCAAAATTTTTTTTGATTTTTCTAAGCATTCTTTCTCTTTTAGGGGAAAATTTAGTGCTACAATCTCCCCTACGGTTTCCATGACTTCATTGAGAGTTCTTCATAGTTTATTTGCATCTTTACGGCCAACTTAGTGAATGACCATGACAGTGAGTAACAAGGGTTTTTAGTTGTTCTTTTAAAATATGTTGTGGTACTCCATTTATCTTCTCCGTCATATTACTTGCTCCACTTTTGGAGCAAGTAATATGACGGAGAAGATAAATGGAGTACCATTATATAAGATTACTTGACCAAGCAATCCTTTATCACCAAGACAATCATATCACCTTTAATATTTGGTAGCTCATAATACCCTAGAAAATCTTCATTTGCACAGAGATTTTTGTCTATCCAGCGTATACAAAAAGATAACTGTTGTTTATTTGTTATGTCAGAATATTCATCGCATAATATACTAAAGAACTTACTATCTTTTGTAAAATTCAATTTATTCCTTAAGACCTCATATGCCATTAGTGTAATAAGTTCATTTTGGTAGTCATAATGGATGAACTTTCTTTTGTTGCAATTTGAGTTAGAATAAACTCTTTCAAAAATCAACGGTTTATCTTTATATATCAATATTAACAATTGCATTAGGTTATCATTAATATGATCAGATTCTCGTAAAGGAAGCCCTTGGTGAACAAGATATTTGATGCACTTCATTACTGCTTTAATATATTGCCGTTCTTCTGATCTTGACTAAACGAGTTGTTTTTTGAGCATTGCCGAAGGATCGCTGAAAGAAGGAATAACAATTTCAAATGTAGATCCACACCTGTGGCATTTGTTGTTTTGGTAATCTTGGAAATAATTTGGCGCTTTTTTTCAATTTCTGAAGCCAACTGATATATACGCTGATTCTTTATTCTTCTCTGCTGTTAACTTTAGTTCGTGTTTCATACAATAGAAACAAAAATACACAATTCTTTTCAATATCATAATGTAACCTGGGTAATTTTCGAACCAGTTATACTGACAGGAGCTATTTTGCATTTCTATCACTCTTCGAAGAAAGATGAAATCTTTAGAGGGATAATAGGGTTTTTCAAGCAACTTTTCAATTTTTTTGGAGACATCAGACACATCCGACTTGCTTTTAATATCAATTAAACTGCTACTTACGTTTTCTGCAGTATCTATAGCTTCATTATTTGTATCTTTAATATTTATGGGATAAATATTTACAGCATTATTATTTACAACAGTGGTATTTACACCATTATTATTTACATCAGTATTTACAGCTTTCTTTTTATAAAAAGACATAATTGTTTTTGAAATGTTCATGATAATCAAACGAGTTGATACTTTTTATACACATTGGTTCGTAGTTTCCGAAGGCAAACATTTGTTCTTTGTGGATATTTCAAAAAATATATATTTGTTGTAATTTTATTACAAAACGACAATACTGAAATAATTTTCGAATTTATAAATAACTTTTAAATAACTTTTTTATAGGTTTACACATGGCATTACTAGTTTCAAATAAATTTTAATTTATTAACTTGCGCTGTAATAGCTTCAAACATAGTCATAATATACATATTATGACATAGTCATAATATCTGATATTATGACTATGCTTCAAACGTGCTTTTAAACTATATAGCATAAAAAAAAAGTTTTTAGATTAGTACGACAATGTATTTGAGTTTTATTCTTATTTTAATTCCCTTAATAAGATTAAGACCAGCATCAAATAATCATTTTTGGTGTACTTTTTCTATTGCATTTGTTTTGTTTTTTTCAAAAACATTGCCCTGAAAAATAATGGAGGGACTGCCCCCCCTCCCCGGCGTCGAAAGCCATGAAGAATAAAATGCTGGTTTTGAAAATAATATTTATTTTTATTTAAAAATAAAGGAATAAAAAATAGAATCATTTTTTAAGTTAAAAACTCCAGTTTTAGGTATATTTTTGCAAAAAAAAATTATTTAATAAAATTATTATTTATAAAACATGCAATTTTTCTGCTTTTTTTGAGTCCATGGTTTATATGGATTAGAAAGAAAAAAAAAATTTTAAGATATTAGAACCTGTCAAGAATTTAGAATCCATAAAGAGGCCTCAAGAGCCCATCAAAATAGGAAAATTTTTTTGTACTTTTTTTTATAATTAATAGACATCGATTCGGGTCTCAGGAATACATATTTTTGAACATATTTTTTTTTTTTTTGCTA